ATCACTTTCTACCTCTAAAGCCTACTAAATAATAAGTGAATTTTAGAATATCTCAAAAGGCATACCCATGGCATACTCATGACATACATTTTCTTAACTCACAAATTAAGTTCATACTTTCAAAAACAGCAAAGTTAACTATTTTTATTTTCTAACAGATTTTTAATTGCACCATTTTTAAAGCATTACTATCTCATTTTTAGAAACATTGCTAATTTTTAGGGCATTATAAAATGGTAACTAACATGTGACATGTTATGCTATCCCAGTACTGTAACGTTGAAATAAAAGTCTTTGTCAGTATATTTAATTCTGTAAAACTGAGGCTTCAATACTGGGATGAAATTTAAATCTTTACCAGTGACGGATTACAGGCAAGTTTCAGAAGTGTGTGCAACATAATCTTTAGAGCTTAAAATAATGAGCCTAATTTTGTTGATGAATATTTAAAGTACTTAATGGCATGTATGCTATTTCTTTCATATGATCCAATATGATTGTATTTTAGTGAAGTTTTGTTTCTTTTATTATTTTTACCAGGCTGTCTTGGTTTTAGGAAACCTTTTGGCTTTCTCATTTTTAAGCTGGTAACTTATGCCATATTTTTACTTCCTTGTACGAAGTAAAAAGGAAGTATTGTAATCGCGAAAAGTTTCAGGCAGCATATTTCAACGAAAATATCCATGTTGACCGCTATCGAATGCAATTTAACGATGTTTTTAGGTGATATCTGCATGTAAGGACACAATAAAATACTCTTTTCCTTCAAAAAATCATAAAACTGCTTTAAAATTAATTCTGAAGAGAATTTTTCGTGGCGTCTGTACGAACGTATGTACGTACGTACGTATCTCGCATAACTCAAAAACGAGTAGCCTCAGAACGTCGAAATTTTGTATATAGGACTGCTATAACATGTAGATGTGCACCTCGTATTTTCGTTGCAATCGGCCGCACCAAACGTATATAAATATATTTATATATATATCCACTCTGTTACCCGGCTCAGTGATCTCAGTTTCTTTACTCTTATATGTTTGTAAATTGTACATTTTTTGCTTTAAAAATGATTGAATTATGTTGTTTTTATCTTCCGGTTAAGGATTTTATGCCTTTAGTAAATCTGTGTGCAATATTTTTAGAATTATCAGCAATTTTAAAGTTGTTTAATTGCCGCTAAGCCTGTTTTTAATGGTGGCCATTGATGTTTACATTTGAAACAGGAGACTAGTGGATTTGTTGCCAATCTAGAGAAACTTAGCTTCGCAACAACAAAGATAACGCATTCATTTATTATTGCCAATTAAATCATGCTTAATTCTTTCTGGAATGTTTTTGAGGAAATAAGTGTTTGAGATTTACTTTGTAATTTTTAATATAGATATTTTGAGTTTTTATGTATTTTTACCTTCTTGCGAAGGGAGAACTGAATTAATTAAATGAGAAATACTCAAATCATCTGTGAAAAACTGTTTCTTTTTTGTTTTGTTTTCTTAATTTCTTTTATACATCATTCTAGCTTTATTATAGTATTTGAATAGAACATGTGGCAACGATTAGATAATTCTATTCTTTAAATGATATAAATTTTGTGTATCATGAGTTATAATATGAACAAAATATATACGTGAACTGTTATATAATTATTGGATTACAAATACTACAACAAATAACTAAAACAATAGTATGGTAAACAAATACTAGAGTGAATTTTAAAGAATGCATGTATTCTATTGTGGTTTATGCGCTGTCGGCGAAGTAGATTTAATTCAATCCAATAAGTTTAAATGAAATGCAAGAAAAAATGCGTATAATTTAATATTCCAATACAAGGAAGTCATGTGGTGTACACATCAGATTTTTTATATTCATTCTAAATTGCTATATTAGTTTATTGTAGCTTAATATTTAATAGATTGTTAAGATGCGAATATCTGAAAAGGTATTAAAACTTTTAAAATACAAAATGTATATTTTCTCAAATATCTAAATTTTTATCTGAGGTCTGTTTCTATTTCATGAATACTGTAATGAATGTACCAAAATACAGAATTCTTTAAGTGTATCTTTGAGTGGTCTTGATGATTCTCATCGTGGTAACTTGTGTGATTTCAGTCTGTATATATTTCCTTTGATTGACATTTTTATTTCGGAATAGAAAACAGTTGCACACAAGTAAATACGATGAGCAAAGGGGGTATACAATCATAAAATTTGCTTTACTACCCAAAATGAGTGTAATGCAACGGTAGATGATTAAATCATATGCATTTTTTCCTGCATTTCATTTAAACTTATTTCTTGAAATTTTATTGGAGATATATTTCTCCCTCAATTAATTCACTTCTCACTTCGTGTACATAAAAACTCAAAATATCTTCATTAAAAATTGAAAGATATAGAAAAACTGAAAGCCTCAAATACAGCTAAAATAATTATAAAAACAATTTTCACAATTAAAATTAGTTTCTATGCAAAAACAAGCAATTTGCCCAGCAGGCAAGAAAGCAGATTTTTCGATGCAGGAAGCTAGAAATTTTCTTTTGGTCCCACTCAGCAAAAAGACCCTGAAGGTGCAGAAAGACTTATTCACTATTCTGCTAAGTTTCAAATGTAAACAAATCTGGCTGCTATGGTAAAAATATTAGCCTTAGTTGCCTTTAAACAACTTTTAAATTGTTGATAGTTCTACAACTATTGAATGCGGATTAACTAAAGGAATAAAAACCTTAACAGGAAGATAAGAATAACATAATTCAATCATTTTTAAAGCAAAAAATGCAGAATTTACCAATATATAACAATAAAAAAAAACAGCCCAACAACAGAGTTGATATATATAAGAAAATAGTAAAGTTACATTAAATTTAAATTCTCTTGCACCATTGCTGCTCATTCCTTGCAGCTTAAATTTGTTAAAATTGCTTAAATTTAATGAACAAATATTCTTTTACGAGGATATTTGTTCATTAAATTTAACAAATATTCTCATTTCATATAAAGCAAATATAAAATTCTCTATTCATATAAAGCAAATAAAATGTAAATTTAATTAAGAAATTTCAATAAGCGTAAAAATATTTAAAAGGAAACTAAACTATTTGAACATTTGAAAAAAATGAAATCGAACAAGGTAGACTAGAAGAGAAACACGCTAATGTGACAATCAAAATCGTAAAAACAACCTTGTATTTAGCGTAAGTATATTGAAACACTCAATCGATTTCGAGGGCAGCTAAAGGTCCCTCCTCATCAGAAGAAAGAAATACCTAGAAAGAAGAAAAATAAAGGGAAAGGAGTCTCAGAAACATGTGGTCCTTATCAGCATTGCACGTGGTTATAACCGGATTTTTAATCAGAGTTACGCTGGCCGCCTACTTTTACTGAGCCAGGCTATCTGATCAAACATGTAATACAAAGGACAAGAAAATTAGCGAAGTTAAAAATAGGAAGTGAGGGGCAACTGCACCTTCACGTTCAAAATCTGAGCTTCGAATAATGGAAAGCAACCACTGAATGGATTTTTATACCCTCTGGTAGTACCAAACGCGAGGAGGTAATGCCATCTATCGGCAAAAATAGTAACTGAATTAAGATAGTATAATTTTAAAGGCATTAGGAAGGAATGGATTGGACTTAAAACCATTAACTAAACATGCTAAATCGTACATAGCAGTAATAACTTTAGAAAATAAATCTGATAGAGTTAGAAGACTGTCAAAGACTTGTTGTAAAGAAGGAGCTGTGTACAGATTCACAAAGTCGTAATAGAAAATTATTAATTCGAATGATATTATTCGAAGTTCAGATTTTGAGCATGAAGGTGCAGTTGCCCCTCGCTTCCTATTTTTAACTTCGCTAATTTTCTTGTCCTTTGTGTTACATGTTTGATCAGATAGGCTGGCTCAGTAAAAGTAGGCGGCCAGTGTAATTCTGGTTAAAAATCTGGTTATAACCACGTGCAGTGCTGATAAGGACCACGTGTTTCTGAGACTCCTTCCTCTTTATTTTTCTTTTTTCTAGGTATTTCTTTCTCCTGATGAGGAGGAATCTTTAGCTGCCCTCGAAATCGATTGAGTGTTTCAATATACTTACGCTAAATACAAGATTGTTTTTACGATTTTGATTTTCAAACAAGGTAATCATTTTTCCTTTCATTCCTTGCAGCAATGGCCCAAGAGAATTTAATTTAACTTTACTATTTTCTTGTGAAACAATTTTAGTACTTAGCAGCTATTAGTGCTAATTACTTTGTTTGATTTCATTTTTTTCAAATGTAACTTAGTTCAAATTTTTCTTAATTAAATTAAAAATTTTATTTGCATTATACGAAATGAGAATACTTGTTAAATTTAATTTCATTCCTTGCAGCAGTGGCGCAAGAAAATTTAAGTTTAAATTAAATTTAATTTTACTATTTTTCTTGTGAAATAATTTTGTTAGTACTTAGCAGCTATTAGCGCTAATTACCTTGTTTGATTTCATTTTTTTCAAATGCGACTTAGTTCAAATAGTTTAGTTTCCTTTTAAATGTTTTTATGCTGATTAAAATTTCTTAATTAAATTTTAATTGCTTTATACGAAATGAGAATATTTGTTATACCAGTCCTATATATAAAATTTCAACATTCGAAGGTTACTCGTTTTTGAGTTGTGTGAGATGTGTATGTACGTACAAATGCCATGAAAAAATCTCTTCTGAACCCATTTAAAATCAGTTTTATAATTTGTTTGGGGAAAAAGAGTTCTTTATTCTGTGCTTATGTACAGATGGCATGCTAAAACATTGTTAAATTGCATTTGATGATGGTCAAAATAGATATTTTTGTTGAAGCGTGATACCCGGAATTTTTCATTATTACAATACTTCCTTTACTTTGTACAAAGAAGTAAAAATGTAAAAGTTATACTTTGGCTTAAACATATTTTTGTGCTATACCTGATTACAAACCTGTCATATTTTATGAAATAAGTAATTATTTTTATGCTTTTTTTCATAGGAAGGTTATTTACTAAACATCAGCAAACTTTGGCAAGATTATCCACATAATGAAATGACGTAAGTATAGTCTTTAGTAATGTCAAGTATGGTTTTCAAATTACATTCATTATGTATGTTAAGAATTCACCTTCAATTTTTTAGGATTTTGTATTTCATTTGAAAAGAATTTATAACATAATTTAATTGAATGTTACATTGGTGAAAATATTGCTTGTCACCTGAGAGAAATTCAACATGCAGCATAGATATAAGAAAAATTCTGTGCTAAAAGAGTATGTAGGGTGCTCTTACATGGATTGTATTTGGACATTAATAGAATTTCAAGAAAAAATATTAGTATATAAATAACATTTACTAGAATTATTACATTCAATTTATTGTATTTCTGTAGGGCAGAATTTTGGTTTAAAATTCTGACATTGTTAGCAGAGCAGCTTCATTATTTTATTTTTAATTGCAAAGGACCGAGAATATTATGATAGCTAAAAAGATTATTTTTTACTCTGTAGTGCATTTAACTAAAATTGTTATAAGGGAGAGATTTTAGGTACTTTCTAATTATTCACCCATCCTCATGAAAAGTTGCCAACTTTTAGCAACTAATTTTTCACCAAGCTAAGACACAAAAGACAACAATCACTTAAAAAACGAGAGCACACTACATAAAGTGGAAATCAATTAACAGAATAAAAAATGCAACAAACATCCCTGAAATCTTGTTTTTTTTTTGGGGGGGGCAAGGGTTGCTGTTTTTTCCGTGTACATAGCAATCTGTTTTGACAAAAAAAAAAAAAAAAAAAAAAAAAAAATTGCACAAACTCAGCACCATGCAGAACTTGGCACTGTGCACGTTATCATTCTCCTCATGTGTGCAGTGATCGGTTTTCATTTAAAAAACATAAGAAAGTCACACAGATTTGGCATTCCGTACTAATTTCAGTCCACAAAATTTGATAGTTTTAAGAAATGAAACTTCATGGAAGTGTAAATATTTGTATTCTGTATTGTTGAACAAAGTGCCATATTTCGAAAGATGTAGAATGCTTTCTTTTTCATCAGCAATCAAACTGTGTAGTCGTATTGCAACTCCCTTACAAGGGAAAAAAATGTACTTGAATGGCACAAAATCAAACTCTAATAAGAAAAATGACTGTTTAAATTGAAGGTGGACCTCAGCTCATCTTCTGTGCATATGTGTGTACTCAGGTTGCGACATAAATACATTCTGGTTATGTCATGAGTTGCCTATTTGGCGGCATAAGGCATTGTCTCGTGAATAGTCAAACCCAGAACTAACTTAATTATCTGGGATGGCTAGAACTTCGGATTTAACTGTGGGTAACAAGGTTCGTACAGTCCTTAAAAGTCCTTAATTTTAATCATCTGAAATTTCTGTTTGTTTTTATGACTGCCATTTTAAGTGTGAATTAGCATTTTGGAGGACTATTTTTGGCGATTCACTGATATATATGGTTATCTTTTGAATGGCTTTCATGGGTTATAATTTGTTTTTATTTCTAATATAAATGATGGGATACTCGAGTTTCTAAGCAAGAAGTAAAACGTAAGCATTTGGAAATTCATTTTTCCTAATGAAGAGCTCTTAAACAAGTTTTCGCTTTTGGGGATGTGAATTCTTTTATTAAACGGTTCTAAATTTGGCTACTTGTCAACATTTTGGCGATTTTAAGATCCGTTTCTATAGAAAATTTTTAATTCTGAGATCTGAAAATTTGTCGACGTTTTTTTTTTTAAAACATCATAATATTGATAAATTTCACTAAAATAATAATAACATATTGAAATTATATTTAAAAATAACATTAAAATAAAACATTTTTACTTTTTGCTGTCATATTATAAAGTTTCATTTTGGCAACTTATTATACAATATTTTGAATCTGAAAAATACACAAGGCATAATGCTAAAGCCTAATTTACGAAACAGCTTTTAGCAAAAGCAAAATTAGCTATGTAATTAATTAAAAATGGCTTCTTTTTAATTTTTTCGTAGTAAGCGTTTTTTCTATGTAATTGTCTCAGAATATTCAAAATTCTCAGAAAATGCATCAGTTTTCTCTATAAAATTAATTTTACACTTTTTCCCTTCTTTTTTTTTTTTTTTTTCCAAAATATTTCTGGCTTTTTGCTGTTACAGAATTGGTAGGGATAATTTTTCTTAAGTATTTTAGACATTGCAGCTTGGAAAGTTTAGAAGGATTTGAAGGCAAGATTTATAGACCCACAATTCTAGAAGATTTGAGAAATATGTGACAAAATGAAAAATATCTCCATGGTATCAACACGTGATGGATGTATTTTACAAAAAGTTTGTGATAAATTTCTTATTTTTTGGAGGTTTGGAAGAACAATGAAAACATAATATTTGAATGTTTTACTCCTGATACTAGACTCTTTTTCTTAACATGTGTATCTTCCCATTATTTTCTCTACTTTTCACTAGACATAAGCATGGAAAATATCAAAAATGCTTCTAATATTATCGTTTGGGCAGGCATTAAGAAAGGGATTTTATTATTAATAAAGAAATTGAAAACTTACAATTTAAAAGATTCATCTAATATGTCTTAATGCGTCATACACAGAGCAGGCACTAGGGATTTTCCACAAATAGAATTCTTTTTCTACTTTTGAATTTAGTATTACTTATTGATGTAACAAAATTTTAAAAATTGAATAATAAATTATCATTTTTAAAAGCAAAAATATTACTGTGGTATCAAATTTACTTTTAACACAATTATTGTAATTTAAATCTCAAACTTATTATCAAATGTAATAAAGATATAATAAGACACTGTCTTTCTAAATATATAAAAAGCAATCTCTGTGGATCCTAAATTCTGCTGCCTAGTGCCTTTTTAAATTCTGCTTCCTTTGTCTGCTCTAAATTCTAAGAGTTTTGCCATTTCTAGATTTTGTTGTTCCGTGTGTCACTAAATTCTAAACATTCTGCCACACCAGCAGCGGTGACAACATTCAGTATTTTGTTATGAATCATGTTGATTATGATCTTACTTCTCATTTTAACCTATTCCACTTGACATAAAATCTAATACCTGCTATTTACTAAACCTCTAGACTGACCAAATATGTGACAAAATGAGATAAAAAATCAGCATAAAGCTAACTATTAGTAAAATGCAAATGTCACTTATCTTCTTTCAAATATGTACAACTATCATTAAGTGTAAAATATTTAATGCTACTTGATAAATTGCATAAAGTTTATTTTATTCTCAAACTTATTAATAATTATGTTAATTAATTCATGTCAGTAATAATGCGTACTACTTAGGGATCTATTTTATTTTTAGGATGGTATTACAAAAGTGAAATTCAGGCATAGAATAATATTTTTAATTGAATTTATTCAGTTCCCATTGGTCGTAGGTCCTTAATTTTTTCCAATTATGGTCCTTAAAAGTCCTTAAAAGTACTTAATTTCCGTGTGCTGAAATGTGTACGAACCCTGGGTAATCAAGAACTCAGTTAACAGATACTAAATTTTAAATCAATTTCATTCCATGAGGTTTTCTGAATTTTTTATTTGAGATTTTAGAAACATACACAAGTACTACTATTGACATTTTAATAAACTCCTTAATTAATAGATAAAATTTGTTCCTTTTATTTAAACAAGTAATCTGACATTATTTTATTTTGTGACATTTATGCAGTATATATGAAAAATGTGGAATAAATAAACTGCATCAAAATTTACATAATGAAACTTGGTCCTATTTCTTACATGTATTTTAATGAAACTTTTTTTAACTGTTGTCTTATTTTATAATAGACTTGCAACTCAATCAGCAACTGCATGATCATAACAACAATTTTTGATCAATAGAAGATCTGTCGGAGAAGTAAGTGCAGATAGAAGTGGGTGGGACAATAGAATTTCACCATTGGTAGTACAGATGTAGTTTCCTGCACTAACTTTAGCTCTGCCTCAGTTTTGACAGAGAGCACCCTACGTCATGGATCTTAGTGTCTCCCACACTTCATCCCCTGCCACCAAACCACTCGAGAGGGCTTTTTACTCACTAACATTTTAAGTGCCTTCATGCCATACCGACACCATACCTTTACAAACGTCATGTCTTCTTGAAATTCAAAACGATGTCTAATGGTACTGCAGCCAGCACTACTTACCTCTGTGTCAATCAGGGCAGCTATGGGAGAAGCATCAGATTGTTATTTTAAATCTTAGTGTGTCAAACTGACCAGTTCTATATATATTTGGCATCAGAGTTCAGGCATGGCTTTTTGCAGAGTGGTAAGGAAGATATCCAAAGACGACACAGATTGATTTAGCTTTTAATTGTCCATTTTTATTTAATCCAATTAGCAGATCATTTTCTTTTTATATGAAACTCTCTAAATTACATATCCATAGTGATTTTAACTAAGTACGATTGAATTTAAATTTTCTGCATCATAACTAATTCTAACAAAGGAAAGAAGGATGGACAGAGCAGCACAGGAGGAGAGGCAAGCTTCTGATGCAAAATGGCGCATATTCAATATTTATAGTAGTGGTTGCGTAATAGGCTAGCAAATTCTAGAAGGTACTGGTCTAGGGAAGAAGATCCTAAATTGTGGAAAATTTATTAAAGGTTGCGTGTTCGTGTAGAGCAAAGCCATCGTATTTTTTTATATTTTAAATATACAGTACAAAGTCCGTAATCCGGACTCATCAGGACTTCGGCGATTCCGGATTATAGATCATCAATTTAAATCTGGTAAGATGGCATGCAGAGATTATACAATTAAAAATATGAAACCGTAATTTATGAAATAAAGAGCAATTATGATTTAAACGGTATCAAAATTTACCAAAAAAAAAAAAAAAAAAAAAAAAAAAAAAAAAAAAAAAAGCTTAATATTTATTTGTTTACTTTATTAAACATTTCTATCAATGCAAGTTGTTTAAATTGCTTTTTTTTGTGCTAATACTTTCTCTTTAATTCTATAAACAGACATAATTTCTTATTCAGTTACAAAGTTCTACTGTTTAAGTCCTGTAATTG